TCTGTCTGTACAGTAACCCAAATTCATATCACCTGGGAGCCCATGAACACCTTAATCATGTTCACTCTTCCTTTCATCATCTGTTTTCAATTAATCAGCTGGATGTGAGCTTGTCAAAGGAAAGTATGCTTCTAAAACATGCTGTACTTTGTATCCCTGCAGGGTAGGACACTTGTGGCGAGAAATGGCAGTGAAGGAACAGAAAATTAGCACAAGGATGACCATGAAATCAAAAGATTATGGTCCAGTTGTAAAAAAAAAAAAAAAGAAGAAGAAGAAGAAAAGGTGTTATAAGTGTTCTTAATATTACAATTCACAGGAGCCACAGTTGCTATGGAGAAGAGGCGAGTCATAGGCATGAATCAAAGCTGTAGCCTACCAGAATCAAAAGTCTTCATTGCATTTGGGAACAAAACACTCTCCCATCATAATCCAAAATCAACCCAAAATCTAGAAGGGAAGTCATTTATTATCCTGAATGTATCTCTCAGGTATCTACAAAACATAAACTTAAGCTCTGGCTCGTCGTTAGTCTTGTGCACTACAGAATTTTGAGCTGGGTGATGATGATGTTTCATAAATGCACCACTGGGGTGATAGATAATTTTTTTTCCTTGTATTTTAAATTTACACAAGCTTGTATCTCTGACTTTTTATTAAAGAACCAGGTATTTTCCAGCTCAGCTGCTCATATTTTGTAATGCTGATTTAAAGGACCAGTGTGTAGGATTTAGGAGGCTCTATTGGCAGAAATTAAACACAATATTCATAATAGGAATCATGTTTTTGTAAGCTTAGAATGAACCCTTTGTATCTGCATAGGGCAATGCATCCTTGTACAGCAGTTTATATGATATCTAACAAATTAGCACCCCACAAATGGCATTCTCACATCACATACTTGATGTAAAGCTACGTAGATTAGGTTTAGGAAAAGAAACCTTGTGACAAAGTACCTTTAAATAGCTCACTTGGTTTTACAAGGTCACAAACACCTGTCTCCTAGGGGAATGTCCTGTGTGGGTTGACCCATCCACCACACAAACCTGCCTCGCTCGTTGACTCGCTCCTTACTTCCTTCTTTACATCTGTCAGTGCATTGGTCACGTAATTGCAGCCTTCCTGATCATGTGGGTCATGTACAAATTACTTTATCATGATTATGTGTGTTATATACAGTATGAATTGTAGTGCAATACTTGTCATAGGTATATGTACAAACAGTGCATAAGAGCAGCTTGCCTGGGGAGTGGATCCAATTCCAAGGAGCCCACCATGTTGGACTGCCATGTTCCTACAGAGGCTCAGAAAAGACAAACCAAACACTGACTCCAGAGAGGGCCTTTTGCTTTTTTACATTACCTCAAGGCCACCATAGTTTCTACACACTTGAGAAGGGAGAGGTGAGGGGTGAGGATATTCAACTTGTTGCAGTCTGCAACCTCACCTCGAGATGGCACTAAATCCCACAGACTGGACCTGTAACCTGTAGCGTTTAATGCCCATCCAAGTCTTGGATGTGTCCCGGATGCCAAACATGTCACTACAGTAAGAAGTGCTTTGAAGGGCTTTTACTTTTTAAAAAGAGAATAAAAAAGGAAACTTACTCACTGTAACTTCAATCACTGCGGATTCTTGACTGAAGCTTATGTAGTTTGGCACATCTTGTGTTTGTATGTTTGTTCTGTTTCACAAGTCATTTCACATTTTATATTTTTCAAAACTTAACGCTGGAAATGTTAGCATCTCTCAGTCAGTGCAATATTAGAGCATGACTGCAGCAGCACTGTGCACACATACAGAGTGCTTTGCTGTTTGACCTTATGAGAACAATGTGCATGATCTGGTCGTGTAAATGTAAAATACTCTGACAAAGTTGTACTTGGTTTAGAGATGTGACTGCTCAGTCCTGTGAAGGTAAAGTCTGACCCTCAGCTGTGAGGTGGTTGTTTTGTCCCAACTAGTCTCCGCTGTTTTGGCTCTTACTGGTCAAGTATGAAGCTGTTTTGCTCTGTCTGGCCTGAGTTTTGATGGATGAGTTCACAGAGTAGAGAATATCCAGACCAGCAAGTAAACATCTCTCTTTCGCATTCTGAATTGGTCCTCCTTTGGAGTATATCTCTGAGACCGGTAAGAAACAAGAAGGCATGTGACACTTTGTCAGCTCAATTGCTTTCACATACCTGTAAAAGAAGAATGAGATTGGTGTATTGCAGGTGAACTGTGTGTTGTACAGAGCCCAGACCAAGTGATCAACAAAGCAGATGCCTTGGTGGATGAAAGCACTTAACAAGCATTCCACTGATAAGGATTCACACTGAACCACTGCAAGGAAAAACATCAGTGAACTGAAATCTAATAGATAAATTGACCACTTTAACTGATTCAAATAGTTTGTAAAGTGGTTTTGTGTGGAAGGATCACAGCAGACCCATTGACAGCTTCATAAAAGATATTTTGGTCACAGAAAAGACCTGAATATTAAAAATCTTAACCTCCACACAAGGTTTCAATACCAGGGCCCGAAGAGACGTGAAAACCTGAATCAACACCAAAATAAAATATTCTGGAGGTGAAACAGTCCTTCAGAGCAAGGTTACAGAAACATACTGCTCTTGAGCTTAACTATGCCCTGATGTTTTAGCATTTCCACTCATAATATTGTTGGACAGGCAATTTATCAGCCTTCCTTTTATGTTTATTTTCATCTAGCCAAGGGAATTTGTCTGCATGTTCTGGTCTGACTGCAAGGAACAGTGTTGAAAATACTCAAGCAGAATATCAAAAACAGTATACTCAGTTTGACGTGTGGCTTCAGGAATAGCTACACCAATTTTGGTCAGTCACAAACTGAGCAAGCACTGCTGGATAGATAATGGATAAAATCATATAAAGACATGTTGTTGCCCTTGTACAAACAACTGTTTCTGGTGAACCTTTGTGGTGAACTATTCTTCATATTAAAAGTGATTTGTGGTTACACTTGGAATACAGATCCAGCTGACGCCACCATTTGAAATGAACCCAAAGCTCCCAGCTGCCAGAGATACCTTGCTCTGCTAATAATAATTAAATACAAACGACATTGACATCGCAGAGCAGACGACTGTGCACTCAATTACAGTCAGGTTGGAACCGAATAAACCAGATTAGACTTAAGTAGATTAGCCTTTACACTGCACAAGTACAACATTTCATGCAACACACTCATACATTTAATCTGTATTACCTTAAGCATGTGTGATGTCTCAATTATCTCTATCATCTCTGTGATCGGACCATCTCCCTAGACTGCTATTAGGCATGGAGAAATCAATTAGGAAACTTCATTTTTGCCTGGATTCACCCGATGGCCAGTCTGGTTAAGTAATATGCCGAAACAACACACCGCTGACTGACATAGACACAATATTGTGACACACGCAGAAGCAGGCTTTGCATAATAGCTTCAGTGGTGAATAACTGAGCATACCTCAGCCTCTGCAGCACTGATCTCAACAATTATTTTTCAAAATCTGTCTTCAGGTCACCAACTGTATAGAAGCAGAACACTAAATTACTGAAGAACCTCTTTAAGATAAAATAGTCACGAGTTGTGCTCTTGAATCCTTGCATCTCCACAAATAAAAAGCATTACAGTCTTGTCCCATTGCACCAAAATTCTGGTCTGCCACACATGATAATATCAAAATGATCCTTAAAATTAGATGCCCCATTCTGCCCATGCTTGTTAGTTCTGGGTGATCCTGTCCCTCTACAACCCTTGTCTACATCCCAGGCAGACTGAGTCCAGACAGCCCTTGTATTAGGTCGAAAATTTATTGTAACAGAATCAAAGGCGATCACCTAACCGCCAGCCAGGGTGTAGTTCTCCCAACTGGGTACTGTGGCAGCGCAGTAACGCAGTAAGTCAACTTACGACCCCGGGCCAAACCTGGTCTGTGATAGGGTGTCGGGTGGCCTGCTGACCTTTCTTTACATCACAATGAAAATGAATAAATTCACACTGAGAATTATTTTCTTGTACTTTGAATGTAAATAAGGTGCTAGAGTGCATAAAAAGGCATCAAAGTACAGATGGTTCATCAAAACAAAGTGGCAGGGAGAATCTCCTGAGCCCCCCGACAGAGGCTGGCTAATTAGTTAAGTTAATATATCATTTAATTTGATAATACAGTGTTTCAAAGAAAGATGAATCATAGGAATTTTAATGTTTATTCATTTTATCTGAAGAAATATTATTAGTGTTTGTTTAATAACTAGCCCCTGGCATCCTATCATGAAGTGAAAGTAGCCCCCGGGCATAACAAGTTGAGTGTCCCTGCCCGTAAGGCTAAAGAAAGACTGTGTCAACCAGAGACTTCAGCCCAAGTTCAGGCCTCATGTCAGCAAACCTCCATCCTACTTGAGTGTCCCTGAGCAAAATAATAATGCTGTAACTGTACCGGCACTCTGGCCTCGCTGAGAAAACACACTTCGCGCTTTATTAGAATAATACTTACTCTGTGATAATATAATATTTTTCATTCTGCAGTCCAAATGTTGTACATGGCTCCACCACTGCTCCATGAACAATGTGCTGCATGCATGAGCCAAGGTCAGGATCAGTTCTGAGGAGGAGCCAGTGGAGGTCACTGTTGCGTGTGAGCTCACTGAGCCGTCTGTGTCATTTCAGGGCAGTTTGTCTCACCAACACAAACTGTGAGTATCAGCTGACCCCAGACTAACCTTTGTGGATCCAGATGTGAGTGTGTTTTGCGTGTGTGTGTGTGTGTATGTGATGAAAGGCGGGGATGTGTGCAGTTTCATCACTGCAGAACAGAGCAGCTTCCACTTGAGAAAGCACTGCAGCAACTCCTCAACTCACATCACATGCACATGCATTCAGAGAGAAACGGGGGGAGAGGAAGAGGGGTGGGCGGGGTGACGGAGGGAGGGTGGGACTTTTGGGGTAACAAACGCCCCCTCTTTTATACTGTAATATTCAATTAGGTCGGAGCGGAGAGGCAGGCAGGCATCAGCACGGGGACAAGTTGACGGCAACAAGGCGCAGTTCATTCATTTTTACACTAGCAGGCATGCTTCATGGAGACACCAGCACTCCTGCCGCCGTCTGGACACACACTTGTCTCACTTTCCTCAGCCTCTTTCTGAACTTTTCACGGCAATAACACTATGGACCCGCTATGGACGGACACCGGCGCTCCGGTACGGCATGCAAATACGTACTCTGACGTCGGCGATCATGTGGCTTTTGGCGTAGATCCTCCTTGTGATCGCCAATTTTTTCTTTCCTGTCGCCTGTTGTCTGCTCGGGTTATTGGACCGCCGTGAGAGTGTTCAAAACACATTTGGCTCGTTTGTGTGTTCAGCAGTCGCTTTGGGATTGTACCGCACTACCTGAGCATCGCGCCAAAACGGTGGGCAGGTAAGAAATGGATAAACTCTTCCTCTGTTTTTCTCACGGCTCTCGCCACACGGCTCCCCCCTCCTCAAAAGTCCCTCAAGTTAAAACTGCATGTAGTTGTTTTTTTGTGCCTGTCCCTTGGCTTGCGCTGCCTTTGCGTGGCTCCCAAACACCCACACGCCTCTGTATAAATATTTTAACTTGTCTAGCCGCATGAACTTTGCCTGCCCCTGCCGTTTACACCTGCGTGCTGAGACAATGTGTCCGACAAGTTGTTAATTGGACGTTTTCTCCCCCGTGTTTAAGTTTCACTTTGATACGTTGTGATCGCGGTAGGTGAAGGCAGAGAGGAGAAACATCGTGTCTACTTTTCCTCCTCCCCGTGTCGACATAACCAGCAAAACATGGCCGTCCTTTGCCGACATGTTGTTACGTCGATGGCGAGAGGGGGAACATTTGGGGAGAGTGTTTTTCTGCGCCCCACTGTCACATCTCGGGCTGGCCGGTGGAAACGGCCGCGAAACTGCGCACCGCCGCCGGTGGAGCCGCTCGCATTCAGCCGTGCTGAGGTTTCACTGCAACTTTTGGAGTCCGACGTTGTTTATAGACTTTGATTTGTGCGACTCTTGTGATGTAGGCGTAACGTCCCCCTGGTGATGCCTCCTCCCCTCCGAGACCACGGCTCTCACACTGCATGCAGACACACAGACACGGTGCTGTAGCATAGGGGCTGACTTATATCCTGCCAGTGCAGTGGGCCTGCAACTGCTGCGAAAAGTCAGGCGTGGTTCTTTATATTCACAATCTCAACTTTGGTAATGAACCCAGCGCCCCGGACTGTAGGCAGTGTGTGTGCCGCACTCCTCTGGAGTCAACACACTCTGCTTCAACCAGAGGAAAATGTGTCCTCAGTGCACCCAGTTAAACCCTGTCTAGGCATAGCTGCAGTTTGATTTATTTTATAGTGCTGTATCCTTCATATTGTCCTGCATTGCATGAGACAGCATTAGTGACTGAGGAGAAATATGAGCAGAGACAGATTGAGGATCACAGCATATGCCATGATTATAAACACGTGTACAGTGGAGCTGTAAGTGCCATAGGTCAAATGGGGAAATTCTGCTTGCTCTTAAAGGGCAGTGCATACTTTTCTAGTTTATTCCAGCATAACAGTAATTTTCATTTCATGTCCTATAGGTTTATTACTGGGAGACAACGCCACAAAGTTTCTTCAAAGTCATTGTAAACTCACCAACTTCCCAACAAGTAATGAGTTGCATGTAAGACATAAGTGAACTCTGTTCAAGCCCTACATAATTTGTCTTTTCGCTTTTTGGAGATATGACAGAATTTGGGTAGCAGTACTCAACACTACCAAGAGACAATATTCAAGATTGGCATTGTACAGACACTGCCCATATTATGCGTCTTGGATATCGGCCATGACTTGACTCATCCACATTTAATACAGTGTATTTGCCAATATTATTTTGAAATTAATTCAGTTTCCTCTATTTGTTACATTCGTTTACTCACAGAAGGCTGCCGACACAGTTCTTGGTGACACCGCAATCCCTGTTCTCACACTGCATTACAGTTCCCTTCAGCGAGCTTTATTAATTTAAGATTTTTTGAAAGACGTATTGGTACATGCCCTAAAATGAGGTGGTGCAAAAGGAAAAGTTGTATCTCTACAAACTACCATACGTCTAGCATTTATGGGCCAGTAATTGTGTTTTATTCTGTATTCTGCCTGTACATAATATGGGTTTATTTTAGTCCATAAGTATTGGGGATGATGACGATAAAAATGAAATTGATGAGCAAGTAAAAAGACAGTTTCAGGAACAGAGATGCTCTGGCTCCCTTTTCCATTTACAATCAAATATTGACTCTGACAGCACGTAGGTTTGGTTGAAATAGCATTTCATATCTTACATATTGCCTGCTGTGATCAACAGTCCCTGACACAGATTCACAATGCTATAATTCAGTGCACCTGTTGACAAGTATACAGTCTCAGACCTCTGACAGGTCAACATACTCAGTCCCTACAGGTGGCCCAATTAATTGAAAAGCATTTAGTGTCTGTTATGGATGCTGCTTTTCTGAGTAAAGCTGTCACCCAGTCTGCACTCGCATTCTTACTGCGAGTCTGATGAAACATCTTGTTCATTAGACTGGGATGACCTACTATGTTGTATTTCTAAACATTCCTTGATCAGCAGCCCAACAGAGCTCAATCCGTAAAAGATGTAAGTGGTTTTGATCACAGCGCAGTTAGCCCCCCCGTCATACCCGTTACCAGCAATTCCTCTGGGTATAAACTTGGCTTCGCTCACTAAGCCATGCACTCTTGCTCTTTCCATGTGAGTAGTAATGTGGCTCATGTTTGTTCTTCACATGGTTTCCACGTGTGATCTGCCAAATCACAGATAATGTTATATAATTCACAATGACAACTGGCTCGTTTTTATTGGTGGCTGAAAAATCAAAGGGTTTCTGTTGATAAAAGTGAACCGACACATTTTAAATTACACACAGTTGCTCAGCGTATTGTGTAGCCAAGCTTTTTTTTGCAGAACAACGTGGGGAATTCAGCCAAAACTAGGCATTTAAGGTGAATTATGAATGATTTTCTTGCTTGCCCAGACAAATTGACTGTTATCAAATCGGTGTACTAGAATGAAGTGGTGAATATAAAGGCTGACAATTAAAAATCCCTGTTTTTGTGCAGTGTTGGGCATAAAGGACATCACTGAATTGTTTTTTGATGGTGCAAGATTAAGGCTGTTGTTAAATATTTTTTGGGGGAAATTGTTATTCTCAGTATTGCACAGGGGATTAGAGAAATGCACAGATGTCACTACCTTGTTGTCCATAACCTCAGTGATTGTCCCATCATCACTACGCTATGACAGCAGTAAAGAGAGACAGAGAGCGTTTTAGTAAGGAGGGATTTTCTGAGCAGCCTAAAATCATTTGGTTTGTTTACAGTAAGGAGTTTGGCAGCTATTATATTTCAAGTGAAACGGCATAAAAAATAAATCTACTCTCACTGAATCGCCTCTTTTTCCAGTCTTGCTCAACCATGCAGTGTTTCTCAATGTACTGTGACCTCTTAGAATGTCACAGCCAAAACATCCAGCTGTGAGGTGATCTGCTCCGTTTGTTCCTAGAGGCGTTTATTCGTTTACTGTAGTCAGATGGTGGAAAATGAACAAGACTCAGTCTGTTACATTCATTTAAATAGAAACCATTGGTGTGGTCTGACAGCAAAGAGAGTGCACCACAGTCAAATATCATTTGTATAAATGACGTGTGAGATCTGATTGTTGGCGGTCGTCTTGCCTCCAGATGTTGCATGTGTCAATCATGGCAGCAATTGAAATTGTCTGACGCATTGTCTCACTGCTAACGGGAACTAACCTGGAGCAGGAGATTGACAGCAAAACAATGAGAAAATATGTTTGTTTTTGATAAATTAAAGGGGGCAGGTAGCTCTGTTTAAATACTGCTGTCCTTTACTTGCAGTCAACTTCAAAGTCAGTATGTGTCTAGAAATCAAACAGTTTGCTGTAGCGTAGTAAAATTACTTCGATTATTCTAATTATTCATGCAAAGTGTCATATGTAGCCTAAGTGATGATAGCTGTGTACTTTACCAATTATAGTGATAATGACAAACTGCTGGTAAGTCACATTTGACAGTTAAAGCTGAAGATATTAGATATCATCTAAATTGATCCTGTTGACAGCTGTCAGTCTTGCCATTAGCTGCTGAGCTAATGTTACGTTAGCTTATGTTACAGTTTCAAAGACTGACAGGACAAGCTGCTGCTCCGTACTAAATGTCCAAAAATCTTAATCAAAGTAGGGATGTTCCTAACGACTAATTTCACTGACATTTAAACGGAAGTTTAAAATTAGACTAGTCGACTAGTGTAAAAGTAAGAAAACAACTTAATCTATTCAGTTAAACATTTTCCGAAGAAATGTTGCATATATTTTTAGAGCCATTTAAAATCGTAAATCACATCTTTCAATAACCAAGTTGTATTTAAAATGCTGCTGAAATGTGGGGCCCTTTGTAAGCTACCACACATAATGACCATTGCAAATTATATGACAACTCACTGAATACAAGTTAATAAATAACATTTATTGAAAACAATATTCTTTAGGGCAATAAATCCTTTGGAAATGTGCCTGATTATTACAACCACATTTTCATTTGGTGAATGCAGTCGCATAAAATAAGAATCATTTTAATTATAAGTTGTACTAGTATTTTTGGTGCCAACAACCAAGGGAAGCAACGTCTAGTCAACTAGTCTACTAATCATGCACATCCCTACATTAAAGTGATTGAAATGTTAATGTGATTTACAGCTGAAGGATTCCAATTATTGTCTTTCATCAGCTAGCATTAGCAGTAGAGCACTGACCAACAACTAGCTTGATAATGACATGCTGCTAACGCTACTCTAACCATTGTTTGTAGCAGCTAAAAACAAGTGCAGGTGTACATGTTTACAATGCAGCTTTCCCTGAAAATTGCTAGTAGCAGCCAGTAGTACATTTTATAGTTTTCATAACTCACAAAATAAGTGTTACAGGTTGTTAAATCTAAAGAATCTAAGGCATGCTAATGACATTGATCCTGCCATTGATTTATGTAGGGACAGTTTGGCACAAAGAGGTTTTAACAACAGGACATTTTATGTTTTAAAGGGATCATAGTTTAAATGGCACACCCTTGCTCAAACTGGCTGCTGATAATGGGTTTGTGGTTGATTTTATAGGAGTATATTACAGTGAACTATATTTCCTGTTTTGTTCTTTCACTACTTGTTTAGGCTTTGCTGACCAAAGTACCATATGCTGCATGTGAGACTAAATATACTGGTCCTGTATTTTTGTGTTTGTCTTTAGATCAGACCTCTTTCTTACATGATGTGCGGCTGTTATTTTTAGTGCCAGCTGACCTGCAGTGGGTTTCAACACGTTTTTGTTTTTCAC